TAAGTAGAATATTCAAAGTCTAATAGTAATTTTCTAATAAATTTCAATAATTGGAGAAGTGATTTTATTTCAATTAAAAACAAAAAAAGAATTTAAAGTAGAATATTCAAAGTCTAATAGTAATTTTCTAATAAATTTCAATAATTGGAGAAGTGATTTTATTTCAATTAAAAACAAAAAAAGAATTTAAAGTAGAATATTCAAAGTCTAATAGTAATTTTCTAATAAATTTCAATAATTGGAGAAGTGATTTTATTTAAATTAAAAAAAAAATGTTAAGTAGAATATTCAAAGTCTAATAATAAGTTTCAAAAATTTCAGAAGATAGTAGAGTGTGTGTATAGGGTAGACATAGGCTAGCTAGTAGTCCTCGACTACCCTATTCACATCTCAGAACCTTGGTCCTTGTATACCTTCTGTGCCCTCTCCCCAAAGTCGTTAGCAAAGCCGTTAGTAATGTCAGGCAGGAGACCATTGATCTATTTCGCGGGAAATTTCCATTCCTTTATTATAACATTATAATACGGTATAATTTATGAATTCTCAGAATTTTTGTTATTAATTTACACTTCCCGCAATTAGTTATAACGCTACATATTATAATTTACTCATTTTTGCAACTTTCTCCAATAAATATCTTCTCATGATGAGACTAAGTTTGTAAAATTTAAAAATCAGGTTGACCTATAGCGAAGGTAAAATTATTATGTTAAATAATTTAACAATGGTGAATCTTCTTCTACTGTTCCTAATTGTAAACACTTGTAAAATTGTTAATTTTTGTCATTTTAATAAAATAAAATAATATTCCTATTTATTGTAAAGTTGTTAATATGCATGAAATATTCTTGTAACAATAATCTTGTGAGAAATAATCCTGTAACTAATTTTGAAACTTCTGTTTACATCTTGTTACAGTTATAATTCTGTGTTTAGAAATGATTTAAAATTAAAGCAACGTTTGTATGTCATCGTTCAACCTAATTTACCTGAATTCGTGTTGCGATACGGTATATTTATAATTCTGCCTGAATTTTTGAAACACTTCCACTTATTTGGTCAGTATTTTTTGTAATTAATGGTAAATATTTTTCAAAGTAAACAGTCGGTAAAAATGAATATTTTGGTCAGTATAAATAATTATTTGTTAGTACAATTTTGTTTATTTGGTCGGTATTAATTTCTTCTCCTATTTCCTTCTTTAACATCGCATCGTCAGAGTATTAATTTGTTTTTTGATCACTGACCATCTATTTAAAATAGACAAATTATTACGTTTGCTAAAATTTTAATTGAAAATACTCACAGTTTTTGTATTAATTGATATAGTACTGACCGCTTATGTTACGTACTGATGTTTCATTTTAAATACTGATTATTTATTTAAAATACTGACCCACTAAATAAATAGCAGCCTTTTCGAAATTCAAACGAATACGGGCAAACTTCCATTGCACTTAAACAATATTTTCCACCAAACGGGATAAAGTAATGAGAGAAAAATGAATTAGGTCAATGAAGATTGTTGATGACCATCGTGGCCGAAAATTTCAGTACGAACGATATTAATAGATTTCATTAAAATTCACTAGATTTCAATAGATTTCAATATGCTTCACATTCAGTAGGTTCATATTTTAGTTGAATTCAGTAGACGTCGTTAGAATTTAGTAGCTTTCAGTAGACGTCTGTAGAATTTAATAGATCTCTGTAGACGTCTTTCGAATTTAGTAGATCTCGCTAGATTTTCCTTAGGCTTCAACAGATTTCAATAGGCATTAGTAGAACACAGTAGATTTTAATAAAATTCAGCAGATTTCAGTAAAATTCAGCATGCTTCACATTCAATAAATAAGTTTCAGCAAATTTCAGTAGACATCTGTAAAATTTAGTAGATTTCAATTAATTTCAATAGGTTTCACTAACAATAAGTGTTCTAATACTTATGAACGAGATTGTACCACTTAAAAGAAGCTTCAGTACATAACGAGTTCGTTGAAAGCATTGAATAACATGTTGTAAATTACAAAGCATTGCAAATCGAAAATTGACCGTGAATTTCAAACAAAGAAACTCATTAATGTCGTTTCAATAGAATAACAAAAGCAAATATACTTAGGAACGATTTGCGCCACGCGATTCTTAGAATCAATTAAGGGGTGTACTTACAATTAGCCTTACATAATGAACAGCTTATGACAATACCTAATGGCCTTGCCTTTCGCCAATTTTTGAATAAGCGAAATTTTCCTTTTTTGGAGTTTCGAAAATGGGAGAATTGTACGAAAAAGGAAATAGTCGTTCTTTCGAAAATAATTTTATTTCGATAGTTTCTATCGACGTAGGAAAGACAATTTTCTCTGCTCGAGAGACAGATAAGTAACAATCTACATATCGTAATGATGAATTTCTTCTCGCTAGAATTCGTAAACTATCGTTAACTCTATGAACTATTATACTACAAGTGTGATTAGCTTCGATCGATGCTTCGCTTGGAGTACGGTTTATGGCAGTTGAACGATCATGCGAACCCTTTACTACGATCATTCTCTAGAAGTGATATAACGTAATACATATTGCACTTGTCCATTCGATCACTATGAAACCATCACCTCCGTTTCTACTGTAATAAATCCTAATTTAAAAATTACATCTAAAATACGAGACTAATAATTCGAGAGAAGAGAAAAAGAAAAAAGGAAACATCTTAAAGAAACAACGTCAGAATTACTAATTTTTTCACGATATCGTAGAATTACATACGTACGTACATACTATATATGGTAAATAAGTAAAGGGTTGGCACAATTCATCTATCGGCGTACCATTCGGTTCGACATTGGCAGGAATCGATTTACAGGGGATGAAAGTTAAATCCATAGATGGTGTCCATTTTCTTCCTCGATTGCTTCTTCAGGGCCACGTTGCCGAATAGAGAAGTGGAACACCATTGGTGCTCTGTCCTGTTTGCATATTAATGTCGCGTGGAATATTGATCTTAACGGTATCTAGACGGTGGACAGCTCATTCGTCGATCTAGCTTTAGTGATCGACCAGTCGAGGATTTACTCTTCGGACGTCGGCGTGCGCCGTTTTTTCCTGCGGAAATTGCCTCCGTGAAATCGTATGCAAAGTGGAATCGACAAATCGAAGAGAATGAAAATTAGAAAGAATGGCATTTCAGTGAAACTTGAAAAGTGTATCAAAATAAACCTTAACACATTCCAGATAGATGACCCAGCATATAAATCGTGCAACACGACGAAGATTAGTATTATCAATTTTGTAAAATAAGGTCTATGGAGAATAAAATTTCCATTGATTTTTAATCCACGATTAGGACCGTCAAATATCAAAATATAAATAAAAATCGAGGAAGTAAAAAACTTTAGATTACTTTATATCGCCGATTTCTGGGTATAGTCTTGAAATACGTCGGTCTTGAATGTGTTAAACGCACCCGATACAGTTCTAGCGACACAATGATCATTTCGTGCTCTCCAATAGTAATTTTTGTAATTTTAAAAAATTGCAAAATTCTAAAGCACTTTATAAAATTGTTGAAAATTCTTAAAGAATTCTACCGTGAAATTGTTTTATTAATTAAAGACACTCACCCGTTGGGAGATCCACCGTAAGCAGTGGCCACAGAACTAGCTACGCCGCCTTTTCCAGTGGAGTAACTGTTAGCGATGGCAGTCACCGCTCCAGGGGGAGATCCACCCTGAGATCCTTGTCTGGTTGACGCCCCGGGGAAGCTGAACACCATGGGGAAGAAGTTGTTCAAATTCGGGTAGTTTTGTCTGCGACGATTGCCTTTGAGCGGTACGAAAGAGGGAATAGACAACTCGTCGTCGTCTTCTTCGTCGTCCTCTTCGTCGTCGTCTACGACTACCGGAGGCTTCTTGGCCTTCTTTCCCGGATGGACCTTTGGGCGATTCACGGCGGCTTCTGTGTTGGTGTAGACTGACTCTTCGGCTGGTGGAGTGACTGGAGATGCCACTGTGGTGAACACGGGAACTGGTTCTGGTTGCTCCTGTACCAATGGAACGAATAAATTAAAAAGGAAAGTGGTAGGAAATTTTCTTAAAGAGGTAGTTGAGTACACCGAGAACCAAAATTGAAATCTTTTCGAGAGTTTTTGAGAAAGCGATGCAAATTTAAAGAGCACAGTGTATGTAATATATACAGTTGCAATAATTATTTAAATTAATCTGATTTTTCTAAAAATAACATTTTGCACTCCACTGACGCTGCTACAGCGATATGCATAAAATGTGGCGTAACATTAGAATGTTATTAAGATCAAAGTTTCTCTTACATTCCCGTTCGTAAATATTAGGACACTTACTGAATGTGAAGCAAACCTAAACAGTCGTTACATAATTATTTAACCTGCAATCTCGTAATATAGCGAAAAGTAAATCTGCCTAAGAAATGTAATTTAACCCTTTGATCACAGACCACTTATCTCAGAGACGAGTCTGAATTTTTATCTCACTATCACAACTACGATAAAAATTTTAGGTCTAGCTTTTGAGTGGTTTCAATTGGCAGCAGGTGGCACACTATTTCCATCAAAAAGAAAACATTATCAATATACTGTTTCTACAAATTATTGCAAAAAGCCTTAACAAATGAACATATATCATTAGATAAAATGGTTACATTAGATTTATTTTTACAACATAGCGATTCAATAAACAAAATTGCCAAAGTAGTCTGAGAGGCAACATGTCTGTGATAACGTCTGAAAAACAGATGTTCATAATTAAAGGTTAAATCGTATAATAGTTTCTGTACGAACATAATAGGTGTCCCAATACATACGAAGTGTATATCATAAAAATAAAGTAATTTAAAAAAATAAATAAATTCATAAGCATTAAAATTTTCTCTTTCCAAAAAAAACTTTCAGATTTTCAAATGTTTCGCTGTAAAAGTGTGCTGGAACTGTCGATCGACCGAAATGCAAGGGAATAACAAACCGTTCATTTACCTGAGGAGTGAAGACACTATGCTGCTTATGATGATGCGGTTCCTCCTCTTCTTGATTATGCTGTTCGTCCTGAGGCAACTGTGGCTCCTCCTGAGGATGGTGTCCATCCTGCGCATGCTGATCTTCAGGCTGGTACTCCTCCTCCTGTTGGACTTGGTGCTGCTCGTCCCCGTTATAAGAATCTTCTGGCGCTGGCGCCGCCTGGGCCTCAGCGCTCGAGACTTCCGGTTCCTCGATCGGTTCCGGTCCGTTCTTCAAGTGTGGCGCCTGCATGCCGCCGAAAAAGGCCTCGCCGCTAACGGCGTTTCCTTGCGCGAACACGCCTGTTGCCTGACCACCGTGACTCGAACGTCGAACGGGTCTGTAGTAGCCGGTGAACATCATCGCTCTATGTGGATACGGTTGTACGGCTGTCCTCTTCTCTCGTAGAAAGACTATGGGATTCCCGTAGGGGTCTAGCATCACTGAAACTTTCGTGTACATCGGTAACTACTTCTGGGAACAATATTTACCTCCAGGAATATGGTAAGACCTGGTTTGTCTAACTTTCAGTCAACTTTAGAATAGACGAGTGAAATCAGGATCTATCTATATTTGAAACGATATTTGAACCTTCATAGAGGTTGACCTCGAAGAGTTTAGCTTTGGAGAAGCAAACGCGAATATTTATCGCCAAGAAGAAAAATATGGTAAGACCTAAGTTTGTCTAACTTTCAGTCAACTTTCGAATAGACGAATGAAACGATATTTGAACCTTGATAGAGGTTGATCTCGAAGAGTTCAGCTTAGGAGAAGCAGTATCATAGATAAAGCTAACTTCCATTCGGACTCCGTTACCACGATCGTCGCCGTCACGACGAGCAGAACGAAGCTGATCCACTGTGCCATCCTCAAAGTCTATACGTATACTCCAAGTGAAACTAGGCGTAGAAGCCGATCGGGGAATGATTCTTCAGAGAGAACACCACAAGGGACAAGGCACCAGCACCCACCTGGTTCAGGTTCTACCTGGTTCGCGAACTTTTTGCACGATGCTGCTATTCTCGAATCCGCAATTGCTTTTATACCAGGAGCTAGGATCACGCGGGGGATGGGATGGGCGATATGGGATGGATCGGTTGAATCCATGCACGGAACGGGGATACGGGACCCTCTTCGAGGCTCCCCACCATCGTTCGTCAGGTGGTTGCCTCGTACCCAACAGGATCGTCGTAACGCAAACGTGCGCATCGTTCAACGATACGTGATCGTCATCCGAGATCGGACGTCGCCTGAATCTAACGCATTAATTGCGCTCCCTGCAGACTGGCTCGCTGAATTTGGCTCATTAAGATTTCAGCCCCCTGTCTACGGGGGGTTGATGGTAAACTTGGTATTTGTCGAGCTTACAGGTGAGAAGAAGGGTGGTATTTGGGTCGACCGGAAAGTTCGTGCCGATTTTTAAGCGAATAAGTGAATTTTATGTTTTGTTTTACAATTTTTTCACCGTCTTCTGGCAATTTGAAAATTCCACTTTGCCAGAAATTTTGTGTTTTTATTTCTTTGAGATCGAAATTTCTATCTCTAAATTTTGCAAGCAATTTTTTTTTGGTAGACTTGGTAAAAGAAGAACGTTGAATGTCTAAACAGTGTAACTAACACAGTATAACTCCCAGAAAAAAATTGGTAATTGTAACGAACAGACGTTCAAAAGATACGTACAACAAATAATCTTTCTCATTTAACATAATTTAATATTACCTATGGAAAATCGGCTCGAACTATCCGATCAAGCCAACACAAAGAGGAAACTTATTTCTTGGAATTTTTGGATTATCGTTTCATCTTACACATTATTAACAATCATGTTTTTTTCTTCTACAGCTTAGAAGTAGTCCTAATAGAAAGAAACCTGAAAATTGATAGATCGATGTTGTCGGTGGTTCCCTCCTAAGAGGCGAGACTGCGTGCTCGTTTGTCACGCCGATCGAAGCCCGATAAAAGGATCTAACGACGGAATAACACGGGGTTCATACATTTTCAATCGTTCTATAAATAGTCTCGATCCAAGGAACAAGCCTGGAGAACGCTTTCTGGCTGATTCTCGCCAACCGCGGCCATACTTTCACGGGAATTCGCGTTTCCAGAATTCCTATTCTCTCCCCTCGTGTCTTCTCCTCCTCGTTTCTTTTCATTCCGCGATCCGCCGCTCTCCTCCGCGAACAAACTTTTCTCAAGAGAGAACTCGTCGAACTCTTCGGACTGTCGGTATCCTAATCTCATCGTGGTCGTCACCCGTGAGAAGCTGTTATTTCATAGACACAACTAAGCTACATCTGGGCTAAGTTATTTATTATTCTCAAAGCGGCGAAGTAAATTGATCAACGTCCTGTCTACGGAAAAAATCATCGTCACCACACGAACGAAGCCAGATTATTTTTAATCGATCCGTCAGACACCGTCTATTTCCGTCGTCCTCGAAGGCTACGGAAGCTGGTTGCAACGAAACGATCGATCGGCCAGGTACGGTTAATGACGTCTGTTTTGACGTAACCTCTTAATATTAATATTATGTCAGTCATACTCGGGCCTGAACCGTCCCGATCGGGGGTTCGAGCGTGGTCAGAGGCGACGATAATTCTCGGGGATGATCAAAAGTCCGTAAGAGTCCAATGGCGGTGGCCGCGGCGCTCGTGCTCTGAATTTCAAGCGAATACAGACAGATCCGCCTTCACGTGTCACTGTCCCTTCCTCCAACTCATTCTCTCTCTCTCTCTATTTTCCTCTCTCTCTCTCGTCTTTTTTACGTTTCTTTCTCTGTTTGGTCTGTCTTCGGCATCGAACCGCCGCAGAAGAGCAACGGAATTACGATCGACTCCGCTAGCCTTCTACAGAAGCCCTCCAGCCTCGCGAGAGAGAGACCCCTTTTAACAGTATTTCTCCTCCGTTCGGGGTACATTATTCATCCCGCGCAGTCGGGGTCCTGTTTTTCCTCTCTTCAGAGACGGTTCGCCGGTTCCAGCTTTTGTTTCTTGCAGATGGATGGAAATCGAGAAAGGGTTGAACCCGATTTTTCGCCCGAACGGGGCTCACGTTGATTTCTAGGGGAGGATTAATGCATTCGAAGCGGAGGAAACGTTGTTGCGAGATTATTCATGGAAGATGCAAGGTTTTTTTCGTTGGTTCGTATCTATGGAGGGCAGAAGAATAGAAGTCAGAATTGTTAGTTTTACAGAGCAACACTTCTAATGTACTGTATTTTTAACACATTGCATATGGGTCACAAGATATATCGTATATAGCAAACCGAACTTTGTGGCCGGGTTACGAGATATCCCGTTTTAATGTTTCTTCGTACGCACGTATCGACGACTCGAGAAATTAGAAATAGATTTTTTTGTCATGTTACCATGGCAACGAAGCCTTGCATATTCTTATGGCAAAGCGAAATAAAAAAAAAAAGTAAAGTCTGTTCGTTCAATGGAGAAAGGAGCGAAACCAGATATAGTTGCAAATTGTGCCAAATACCATTGCACAAAGGAGAATGCTTCACCAGATATCATATTTAAGAATACTTCATCAATGAAAAATAAAAAACTGCATATATGCATTGCACAAAGTTTTTCTCGAGCGTTCAAAAATGTGCGGGCCCTGGAAGCGCGTTGAGCAAGCAGAATGCCGTACGCAATGTGTTAACATGTAGGTATTACTAGAATTTCAGGTAAAAGAGCGTGGAAGAAATGAGATTGACTTGTACTGTTAGAGTTATGAACAAAGGACAGCTGTGTAGAATATATTAGCGATCAAAATTTCACTTGTACTATTTTGTCCGGCTACCAGAGATGCAAGGTAATTTTTGCTGCCTTCGTATATTAACCCTTCGACTACTGGCAAAATGTAAAGCGAGTTACAGCATTGGGACATTATAATTTTTAATAATTACACTTCTCCGTCAAAGTTAGTATCGTGTATTAGTAAAAATATACAAAGTGTTCACGCTATTATTACACTTTGCAATGTTTTTCTCGTAAGTGGTAGATTTGTGAGGAGCATTAGGTACTCACTATGTACATACGAGACACGTTCACGAGTTAAGTGCTCGCTGTATACTTTCGCGGCAGAATAGTTTGAATTTCAATGAAATATACGTGTCGAATGGTTATCAAAGGGTTAATTAATATACGAAAAGACAGCCGATAAGTGTAATTTCCGTTTTCGCCGATCAATTCGTCCGTTTGGTGTACCGCTATCGGTGAATACTCGATGAATTCGCGCTATTTCATGAATCAACCTCGAAACGCACTGTTTTCCAAGTCACGCGTATCGTATTTTCGAGCGTGACCAGCGGACGCAAAGCAGCACACGTCCACTTCGGTTAAGAACGAACGACCGTTCCGCTCGGATGCAGCTGGATTCGCGATGCTCCGTGCAAAAATTTACATCGTATAGTTGCCTCTTAGATCCGACAATCTTTTTACTCGGACCTCACAATCAGTCTCTCTCTCTCTCTCTTTCTGGTTTCTCACGAGGAGCATTAACATCACCGAGGATCTCCGAGCAGAAAAGAATAATTTTATGCGCCATAAACTGTTCGATTTTTCCTCGTTTCTTTTGATGTACGGGCAAAGTTGAAATATCGTTGATATTATAGGGGTGTAAAGTTAACGTTAAGAGGGAGTTTGATCGTGGTAGTTGTGCGTCGTTGAAGGTACTGAGAATGCAATGGCCTTTTCGCGAGACTATTTCGAGGATACGAGGCCTGGTTCGACGACCCCGTAAACGAATCCTATTTCGCGAATCGTCGTCTTCCCCCGATTGTGGCCGCAGAAATCAGTCCATTGTTCTGTTTGAACATTCACGACGCGCGCCCGTCTGCCAGACCTATAGTTGCCTAGATACGAACGTGATCGTGGTGAATGGTCATGCTTGTCTGTCGATTCGTTTATTCTGGCTAGCAACAATGACCAAAAACTCTCTTCCTGGAACTTGAGGATCTTGCTTTCAAAGTTTTAGTAGGTTGATCGAACGTCGTTTATTTTTTTTTTTTTTAATGAAACTTTAGGTACATTGTGTTTCTTCGAGAAATGATTTTTATAGGATTTTGTACAATTTTCGTAACAATTAACTAGCTTTGTTTTTCTAAATTTATGAAAATTATTAGTTTTTGAAGGAAGAAATTCTTCGAATGCTACTTTTACAGTGTCTTCGTTTTGGAATAATTTATTTGTTAAGAAAATTGTTGAGGTGTTTGAAGAAATGGTAGTCTGCTTTATTTTTTTCGTGGATTGCTTCTAATAATTTTTCTTAAGATGTTATCATCTGGTTTTCTCTTGGCTCATTTTCCAACGAACAATCGTCAATCTCGAATTTTGCTCACCAACAAATTTTGTTGTTCTTCAAATGCCAAATTTATATTTCCAGCAGTTCCTCCAAGTTTAAACTTATTATTCGTCGCGTCGGATAATAATGTCCAAACAGTTGCATTATGAATTTTTTTACTACTCAACACAGTTCTTCTTCGCTATTATGTATGAAAATTTATATTTTTACGACATTTACGACGTTTCATTTGCACCAGCCTAATATTTTCGTACTTTGGAATTGCACTTTGAACCAGAAGCTTGGAATTTTAATTAGAAAGGTTCTCATTGTAAATGATTACAATTAGGTGCACGTGGAAAACGATGGAAAACAATGGAAAACGGGCAAACAAAGGGATTCCTGAAGACGAATGGCCCCAGAGACTGAAGGAGAAACAAACGAACGATCGGTGAATTCCATTATTATGGGACTTGCATCATCGATTTACATGCGCTTTGCCCCGCGAACAGATCCTCGCAACCGGATGACGTACGCCGCGATTCGTCGATTGTTTACGACCTCCCTTCGATGCAGTCCTCGATACGGAT